CCAAGGGAACAGGAAGCATACAAAAAAGGCCCTTCAAGGAAGTGAGTAACAAGAACCGGTGGAACAAGCAGAGTGTCCGGGCACTTGTGAAGAACATTGTCAAAAACAGGCAGCTCAGGAGCGCGCCCTCAACAGAGCTGCCACAGCTCAGTCTGGTGCAGAAGCCCAGGAATTTAGCAGGAAATTCCTTCCACTCGGAGCCCTTGCTCCCAAAGGAACATAGGGAGACAGTCTCTTCTTTCACAGAACCATCTCTAGTGAGAAAGGCTCCATCTACAGAATCATTACCTGAGTTCATAGACAGACGTAAAGATTTGTCTTACACCATTTTTGTTTTAGAAAGTGCAAATGCTAATGTGAAAAGAATGAAGGCTTCTGACCTAAGTTTACTATCTGAAAAGGGACATCGAAACCTTAGGAAGAAAAAATCTCATTTCCCGTTGATTGCAAGGAAGCCAGCATCCTCTGCATTGAGAAACCTGGTAAATTCCCCTGAACGAGGGGTCTTTTCATCTTTAGGAGACCTGAACTATCCAGAAAAGGCTTTTTCAGAAGTATATGCCATTTCTGATCATTCTACAGAAAAACCTCTTGAAAAAAATCAGGCTATTACAGATAATTTTGAAGAAAACATCCTTGAATCTACTGTGCCTGAAGAAACTGCATTAGAAAATAAAATCTCTGCACATCATGCTGAAGATTTTCATGTGCAAAGATACGACTTAATTCCAACTGCTGAGCAAACCACTGGACCACACCCAGACTTCATTTTGGCACCTGATGAACATTTCGATGACCATATAAATAACCATTTTGATGACCATTCAAATGACCATTTCAATGACCATTCAAATGACCATTACGATGACCATTCAAATGACCATTTTGATGATCATTCACATGACCATTTTGATGACCATTCAAATGACCATTTTGATGACCATTCACATGACCATTTAGATGACCATTTTGATGACAATACACATGACCATTCAGATGACCATATTGACGGCAATTCAAATGACCATTTTGATGACCATACAGATGACCATTTTGGTGACCATACAGATGACCATTTCGATGACCATTCAGATGACCATTTTGAAGACCATTCACATGACCATTTTGATGACCATACACATGACCATTTTGATGACCATTTAGAAAAACATTTGGATGACCATTTTGATGACCATTCAAGTGACCAATTTGATGACCATTCAGGTGACCATTTTGATGACCATACACATGAACATTTTGATGACCATACACATGACCATTTTGATGACCATACAGATGACCTTACAGATGACCATTCAAGTGACCATTCAGATGATGACCATGCAGATGAGCATTCAGATGACCACTTCCATGAGCATTCAGATGACCATTCACATGACCATTTTGATGACAATTCCAATGACCATTTCGATGACCACTCACATAACCATTTTGATGGCCATTCAAAT